AAAAAATATATAGAATACGTGGTTCTCTATGCATTTTGAAAACAAACCTTCTCTGAGTTATAAACATTGCAGATATTTTCTCCCGGCATTTGGTGTGTATTATCACTGTTTATTTTGCAGTGTTCATAAAAAAAATTCAGAATTTGCACACAATCAGATTTAATAAAGTTTTCCCCTCCCTGGCTTGTACATTTTGTGCCTTGTTTAAGACACACTCCCCTACCGCAATGCAATGAGATTGTCCTATTGCTTTTCTTGAGTGGTGTTACTAGTCACATTAGGTCTTTAATCTACCTTGTTTTTTATTTTGTACCATGTGAAGTAAATATCCACATGCTATCATTATGCTTCCAGATTGTCAGTTGTCCCAACATTTTTTATGGCTGGCCACCCTTTCTCTGTGATGTAATGCCACTTCTGTTGCATGCCATGTTTTAATGTATCTGCAGTTAAATTTCCACAATATTATTTTTCTCTGCTCCACTATCATACTGCTTTAATTATTATGCATTTATTATAAGTATTGATATCTAGAAGGGATAGTGCTTCCTAAATAATCAACATCAATTTGACTTGGGTATTTTTGTCCTTACTGTTTTATATAAATTTTAGGATTATCACGACAAATTCCACAGAAATGCCTTAGACAATAAATAATCTTTATTTTTAGAATAGCTTTAGGTTCACACCAAAACTGAGTGGAAAGTATACAGAGTTTCCATAACCCCCTTCTCCCATACACATATAACCTCCCCACTATCAAACTCTGGCACCATAGTGGTAGATTTGTTACAATCAGTCTTTGAGATTTTGCATGGAGTTTATAGACTAATTTGACAAGAGTTGTCCTATTCATGTTATTGAGTGTACCAATTCAAAATATCATATTTGTTTTTTTCAATTTTCTTATGTTTTAAAATTTATTTTTTAATTGACACATATTTATTGTTCATATATATGGGGCACAGAGTTACATTTCAGTAAATATATACAATGTGCAGTGATCAAATGAGGGTAATTAGCATATTCATCATTACAAAAATGTATCACTTCTTTGTGATGAGAGCATTTGATCTCCTATCCTAGCTATTTGAGAACATATAATAAATTATTGTTAATTATGAATTTTTAAATAAAGTTTTATAACTTTTTCTCTAAACCTCTTGCATATCTTTTGTCATGTATTCTTAAGTACTTTGCCATTTTGGGGGGTTGAAAATTGTAATTTTTATCTTTTTCTTTCTACTGGTGCATTTGTGAAATAAAGGAATGCAATTTTTGTGTATTGATCTTATATCCAGAAACATTGATGATTATTATTTCTAACATTTTGTGTGTTATTTTAGATATTATGCAAAGACAATCAATTTTCAAAGTAGTATTGGCATAAAAATAGAGAAATAGACCAATAAAACAAAATAAAGAATAAAAAAGAAATCAACCCACCCTTA